TAAGTACAATTAATTTTGTGACAATGTTGCTTAAAATTTCAGACTTTGCCTTATATGCGTAATTTTTAAAATAGCATATATTTTCAAACACTTGAAATAAAAATTTTTTGCTCCCTAAATTATTTACTCAGTATTTGGACTAAGGTAAAACCAGATGATAAATGGCAAGTGGAGAGAAAAATCAGATCATTAGAAAAATAAATATTTTCCTCCTCTGATTTTTCACAAATGATCACTTGTCACTCACTCAGCTTTACAGGGTCTTTACATAAGGCTCAAAATCATGATATTGTAAGGGAGATATGGAATAGGAAGCAGATGATGCCTGGGAAAAATTTGTCCCAATATTAAAGGAATGAATCTGCTTATTCATCCAAATCATCTATAATTGACTTACATTTCACTCTCTATATAATCCTAAACAATCTCATTTAAAATTTGGAACAATTCAGAAGAATAGGACTAAGAAACAAAATGTGCTTGAATTATGAGTGCCTGCATTAGGCTCTTTTCAGCACCCAGAGAAAGGGAGAGGGAAGAAGTTTGCCTACATGATGCAGCATTTCCTGCATAAGGTTGGCTGGAGAATTGCTTCAGCTGGTGGGCAGCAGAATAGAGAGAAGTGAGGAGTCAATATGCTAAAGCAATTGAGACCAGCAAACAAAAACATCCAGAAAATGAGTCGGAATCCGATGGCAAATGCCTTGGCACAATTCAGAGGCTGCAGAGTCAACTGGAGAAGAACCATAGTAACAGGTGGTGTATAGTGAGGGTGCTCCTGGGTGAGTACCTAGGAAGAACATCTCAGTATTCAGCTGCAATGTGCTCTCTGTAAAATGGTTTCAGGGGGCGAGGAGGTGTAGGGCAGGAACAAGGAGAAATTTAATGTAAAGATTGGGAAAGAGTTGTATTAATTCTTTTTTTTATATATATATTTTATTGAATTTTTTACAGAGAGGAAGGGAGAGGGATAGAGAGTTAGAAACATCGATGATGATGCTGAAACCGGTTTGGCTCAGTGGATAGAGCGTCGGCCTGCGGACTGAGGGGTCCCGGGTTCGATTCCGGTCAAGGGCATGTACCTGGGTTGCGGGCGCATCCCCAGTGGGGGATGTGC